CTCAGTCATTACGAGAAGAAATATAGATTTCTTCCCCCGAGTAATCCAGTATTAAGTTTACAGCACAGGTGAAACTAGAATTGTTTGTATGATTTAGATATAGAAAAGACTTAGAATAACAGGTTCAGACCTAAAATTCAGGAACTCAAGCTCTTGATTCTTGGAAAAAAACTGTTTAAAAAATACCCTTTGCATTCATTCCACTAAACGTGATGTTTTTCAACCAGTTATATAACAGCCGGACAACAATTAGGTTTTTAGTTACGATAAGCTTTTGAATAACTGACCTGAAGTAATGGTGAAGAGTTGTAATCTTGAGAACCAATCCAACTGAGCTTAACAGTGAAATCCAACGTATGACATGGAATAACTGTCAGGCTACATCACGAACTCACTAGAATTGGGAAATTTGGAAGATCGTATTTCAAGTTAATGGTTGCCTGTTAGCATGCTCGCTTGAAAATTAAGTTCCCTGACTCAATCTAGAATGGAAATGTAGATGTACTACATTGAGAAGTTGCAAACCGCACTCACAGGGAACGTAATGCTTCCATTCTGAATCAGAAGTCAGATATAATTATCAATTAATGTTTCATCTTTCAGAATAAGTGCAGATATGTTAGGAATTGTTCAGAGTCCTAATGGCTTGGTTGAATATTTGTAAATTCATAGTTTATTTTACTATAGAGTGATACAGATTAGAGAATCTGTACGAAATATTGAGCACTGAGTGACTATTTTAACTTACTCTGAAGCTCTCCAGCACTATGTACTCACAGTCATATAAAGGGTTGGACCGAAAACACTCCAAACGGTGAGTTGAAACTCACTGGTCACGTTTACCATTTAGAATCAAATCAACACAATGAGCAACCATTTTCCAATGTTGTTGGTGTACATCGATCCTTTAAAAAAAAATGTTACTGAACACCTTTTTGTTTCCTGATTAAACAGTCTTAGTAGAATTATTTAGGAATGTAAGTTATAGTGAGTTGCAGTTTTGTCAGATGTGTACAGTGGAGCAAGTTGTGAATCGTCAAATAAATTTACGTAATTTGTCTGAATCGTGTATTGTATTTGCACAACACGTTCCGGAAAATCTGACCATACATGTACCTGCCATAGATATCTATATGAAAGGTTACAAAGAGATCAGGAGTGGGAATACGAAAGCACGTACAGTTAGCAGGCGAAATCACAGACTGAAATAACACTGAAAATCATTAGAGTGAAAACAATAGTGTGTTGAACTTGGTTTCAAAGTTGTATTCACCAAGGAATGTTTAAACTTATAAAAAATTCAATTTTGAGGTTTGTGGGGATTTATCGACTTTAGGTCGGTAGTCATCACTGAATAAAATCAGTTGGAGGACCATTGGAAACCTGCAAGCACTAGGTAGCTGTCTCGTCCTAGTATTGGACGTTTCGGCAGTGCGTACCCATGACCCTGTCAGGATCAAGCCCAGGACCTATAGATTCCGAAGTTCTGTTAAGAAGTCGTGACCACCGGAGCCAACCAAGTCGAACATGAGGACAGCAACTCTGTGATAGCATTGAGTGGAGGTCGCATTATATCGTGAATTGACAGAAGTAGAGAATACGCACCACTAGATTTCGATCTAGTTACTCAGTTGTGACATGCTGGCTGTAGAACCTGAATATCTCGTGTTTTATCTCTGATGAGGTCATAGATACACACTGCAGAAGAGTAGCATACTAGGACAAAACAGCTGTCCAGTACTCTTAGGTTTCCGATGGCTCTGCGACTGATATCAGTCCACAGTGAATACCAACCTGATAATCAATTGTTTTTGAGCATACAGAGGTGGCTTAGACTTCTAAATAGCCTTAATTTCAGTTGACGACTAAGTTTGGTTGAAAGCCAAAATGGCGACTATCTCTCGCCAGTTTTTTTAATGACCATCAGAAGCAGAAAAGTATTCTAACTCCTGAACAATTCAGAGCAGTAAAAGAACTACAAGACGACCATGATATTATCACTCAGATGGGAAAAAGGCTCAAATGTAGTGATCATGGATAAAAATGGACATGGATGTAAAATATCATCTATTATTGAAGACGAAAACAAATTTTACGGAGATTACTCTTCAGAAAACGTACAACTTCCATAGGGAACAGTGACTGCCAATCCAGGAAAACTGCTCAGTGTGAACATTATTTCAAAAGAAAAATCTGACTCATTGAAAGTAACTGAATTACGATTCTCACATCTTTACGTTTGCCCAAACTACCCAATAACCAATCATATAGTGTCAGTATGCAAGTCACCGACACACGAGCTTGTTCAGTTGCTAGTGGAATTATTAGATCCATATCTGTAAGTATTCCTTGGGAGACACATTTGAAGTAGTCAGATGTCTTCATGCAATCAACATTAAAATGAAATCGTTTTTTTCTGGCTTAAACTCTAGTTACTCGTGTCCGTTTGGTTATTACAATCAATGTTTAACGCGATTATTTCTCCACGTACAGTTGTTCAATATATATTTCTCTGAATCACTTAAAATAGCTACTGCTTTTATGTACAAGCAACATCAAATTTGTATTCGAATGTCAACAATTCCGTCAGATTGATAGTGTTACCATAGAAATCCGCCTTTTAGCAGACAAATTTGTATTGGACATGCAAACTCGGTGGAGAACCTAATTAAGAAAGTCCGTTTGTATCAAAGATATGTAGGCGATATTCTTATTATGTGTGATTGAATGAAGCACAGACTAGCATATTTTTATATATGTAGAAGAGAAAGATGACTAATTACAAACTAACAGCGGGATGGATCTATAAAACGCCCTGTCTACAGAAAACCAACATAGGTAGGGTAGTATTTAAAATATCGTAGCTTTTTCAGTTCACTCCAAGCCCGCTTTAGGTAGAGGCCTATTCAGTAGAACTCAGCGAATATGCACAGATGATACTTTGACAGACAAGACAAGAGCACTGACGTAAACATTGTTGGAAAATAACTATTTATCTAAATTTACTAGTCCGTACAAAGTAGACGGAGCTCCGAAATCTACTCCTAACTTTGTCCCGAGGAGAGACATTTTAATCAGTCTTCCACACATAAGTAACTCTTATGGCGCAATTTATAAGCACAGACTTAAAGCTGATGTTAGAAGGACTTCCTGTGCAGCTAAGGCTTGACAAATAGAAACCACCAAACTTGTGTACTCACCCAAACCCTTACATCATGTGAATGATAATGTCATATCATACTGTATCAACCAACTTAGATTTATTTTGGTAAAATAAGCATAAGGAGGACTCAGGTTCATACAAGTGAGGACGTTGTTGCATACTGAAAAATATCTTCAAACGAAAATTGAATCACGTGAACCGGCAAGTGATAGTAGGAGACGTCTAAGTTCTTCGACAGAGAAACATAACACTTAGACAGACGACAGAACTCACTTTTCTGCGAATTCCTAAGTTTGTTGAGGTATATTTATTGAGGTATATTTATGTCTACATTCGTCCTCTCTTACATAGTTGTGTTTTATTAGGCGCCATTTCAATATTTAAATTATTCCCACAAATATTTGTTATTCAAAGTACTGTTATTATAGAAATTATAATTTGTAGTGATGACTTTCGAATAGTTTTCATATTATGATACAATGATACACTTCAAATTGCAATACTTTCTTCTGATATATTGAATTGCAATAAAGTGTGGTACATATGTTCCGAAGACTAACTTTTGTCAAAAAGCGAAGTAGTTCCAGAAAGGGACTCTTACCAGTGATTTTACTTTCGAAGTTGTTCAGTTGTAATTACTGACTTTTTTCGTTAAAATGTCCTTCGCACTCATAATACTTTTGGCTTAATGGATATGGTCACAACAAAAAGCCCTAGTAACGAGGAGAGTATCAGAACTGTTTAGAATATTCATCATTTATCAAAATCTAATAGGGTAGGTTTGAAAATGATACCAATGTCCATTCAAAAATATGCCAGCCACTGGACACAATTTAGTGTTTCGAATCCTGTCACAGCCAGACTTTCCTGTTAGCTGCAGTTAATATCACCACCATCACCATCCTTTCGCGTGAAATCTTCTTAAATGCAAACTGATGATTTTGACACTTCTTGGTGAAGTAAATACTTCTGAAATCACCTGATCTGATGTCTAGTTGTCAGAGAGTAAACCTCAAAGCTGTGAAAGAAACAATTATCACACACGAGACAACCATTTGAGAAGTTATTTAGCATTTTCAGGATTTCCGTTTCAGAACGACTATTTAACTTGTAAAACCTTTCAATAGAGCAAATTATAATATCACTCAACACTAAATGTTGGCTGACATATTTAGTTCTACAAGGCCTAACTGTAATTATCTGCAATGTAGAACACAGTACTGTTTTATAATGTGATTTAGTCCTTATATTATGTTTCTTGAAGCATAAACTATGACTTATAATGCTAACACCAGATAGCTTCATAACTACAAGTCAGCAACGAAATGCTTCTACAAGTAGATCCAGTTACGTCAGTCGTTGCTTATGGAATTTGGTCTTCCATATCCCACATAGTTAGACCACTTAGTTCAAGAGAACCACAGGGTAAAAATGAATACGTTCTACTTTGATCATTTGTGGGGTACCCAACAGTAACAAGACGTTTCTATGATGATCAGTACACCTTCTCAGAAGTCTCCTTTATGCAGTGGTGTTGTGTTTTTCTTTGACAGCTGTGATATTTGTCCATAACCATTTTTTGCAATGTAAGAGTAGAACCTGACCTCTTTGACGCTGAATACTTCCATAATAATCTGTTCGTTTGGTGTTCCACTCAGTAAAAAAGCATTTTTGTTACTAAGTCACCTTGTCTACATCTGTTAAGCAATAGGGGTTCACTGAGTGAAGTATCCTCACAGAAATTAAAACCGAGCTATTCTTTTTCGATAATTTGTTTCCCTGTTTACCTATATTGGGTTACTTTAACAGTTAGTCGTTCTCTGTAATCCATCTTCAGGTATGCGATTGTACAACTTGCTAATAAATCGAAAATATTTATGTCAAGTTTGCCCGGTCCAGACCTTTACAATGGTCAGATTTTCGTTAACTTGAGTATTGTTAACCCGCAATCTGAATATTGGAAACATTCAGCATTTCAGGACCATCGATTAAATCTTTCAGTAGCATATTTTCTAATTACAAAATATTATGTTCTATTTCTGTTTACCTTTGACTGGTGAACAAATTACAAATGGTTCAGCACGGGAGAACTGTAGAGTAATGTCAGGCATTTCAACACAAACTGCATCGACTGAACAATGTTCCTACTTCCCCTTCAGTGTAAATGCATTAGAAGGAATATACCGTGCAGTATCATAGACTTTCATGTTTTTAATCCACAGCCTCAATTTAGCCATAAAAATAATTCAGTCATAAATAAAATATTACCGTCTGATGTAGTACTGATGAACGAATGAAAAATTAAGAAAGTCAATGATGAGTCACATGTTATATAAAATCACAGTGATCAACCAGGAATATTACATATTTGAATAAGTCTCTTGATGCTTGCCTACGATCAGATATTTTATATTACATTCTTATAACTGCGAACGATGGCTTGTGTATGCTATGTGTGAATTATTTATGTATCAATGCAGGCTACATTTCAAACGTAATCTTTTTAATTCGTTTGGGAAGAAGCGAGGGGATGAAACAATTAATATGTGTAAATAATTAACAGTAGAGAACTGGAATTCACCTAATGCCCTTAATGAATATAAATGGTTGAAAACAACCAAATCCTGGTAACCATAGTGGTGATAACTGATTGACGAAAGGAAAATAAAAATCTCGTATAAGCATTATCAGCCGTATTATTCTGTTTGATTTAAAAAATATTTTGCTCAAGATTTACTCCACACTGTTATTATGTAAATTAACCAAAAAACTATTTCTCAACCCCTTACTCCGTATGATCCAGGCTTGCGAATTAATTGCCTGCTAACTGAAACTGATGAATGCGTTGTGGAGATGAGATTCAGCTGTATATGTGTCAGACTTCGGAGACATGAACACTAGGATAGTGATGACCTAGGACTGGTCTTTTGTTGCATAGTGGGGAGGGAAGAAGAATTAATGGTTAAAGAGTTGTCAGTACCAACTTGTCTTGTCTTCGGTTCATTTGGTGCATAATCGAAATCGATAGACAAAGAGAGTAATGTGTAGTAAATCAGAATCATGTGTCAGTATCACAGTTATATATTTGCAGTTAAGAGAATGATGTCGAAATGGAAATTTTTTCCTAGCTGCAATCGTTTTCTGTCTTTTCTCATGACCAAATGGTTTTACTTCGATATTTGCAGCTGTCAATTCAAGCACCTGATATCGATGCATATCAGTTCACCTGTTGTTATAACAAAAACACTACTTTCTTGTTTACAGCATTTAAGCAATATATAATCCTTAATTTATGTAGATCATCTTAAAATATTGTTTTTCTCTTGTTGCTTCTGGATTCAACCTTATTCTAATTTTGTTAATTGCCAAAGTCTCAGTACTTGACGACAACAAGAAGCAAATAGGTTGATAATTATCAAATCAATTGATATTTGTAGTGGTACTAATGTTGAGAACGACAATGATGGTCACAATGAAGTGTGATCTGAGAAGAAAACTAAAATATGTAATGGTAAAGTACTGCCATGCTATAAGGAACGTCTTACATGAAGAGATAATTCAAGCTTCTTGTCTAGTTCTGTTCTTCTTCAATTTCCTCAACTTAATCTTTGTTCTTTGTGTATCACCAACCAATCTACCCCATTTATCTGACCAAAACCTCTGCCAGTCAAATTATCCTTCTTATGACCACTTTTGGAGGTAACACATTGTGCTCAACTCAGATGCGCTTTCACCAGTAGACTATACGACACTAAGAGTAGTGGTAAAATCTTTGATTGTTATTCCTGTGAATTTTGACCACTTGTTTTTTTAACCGCGTGTTCTATCTATTAGTCGGAGGTTAATTTAATTCATCTGCAGAAAGGAAAATATACCACTTGTGCAGCAGAGAGTGTTTTCGGTTACTGGTTGCTTGTCACTAACTAACCTCAATGTGCATCGAAATTGTCTTACATATCCTCGATTGATGGTTTAATCTTAAAATAAATGGATGATAAAGGCATTTGGAAGAGTATATCTGCAGTATTTTTACAATCGGCTTCTGAACTTCCAGCTAAGTGTCTCACAGATTGGGCTGTATTATAAGATCACTAACTTGATCTAATATTCACTTACGTCACCAAAAGTTTCGTTCATCTGTCATATGTGAACAAAAGGTTCGTAACTACTTGTTGGCCAAGATAATCACACTAGCTACCTAAACAAATGTTCACTTTGAAGTCGATATCGAGTTGAGTGAAAAAAGGTAGCAGGTAAAACAGTTATCAGAGATAATATATCATATGGTCTTGGTCGGTTAGGTTTTTTTAATAGTAGACATCTGTTTTGCATAGCTTCAAGAAAAGTTGTCTGAGTACCTAGTTTCATAGTGATGTTGATGTTTAAAATTTGTTGAGAATTAGCCATTCACATAAAAGTTATGTAAAATCCAAGGCGATTGAAATGTGACTTGTATCTGGCAAGAAGATGGATGTTGAACAGTTTGCTAAATATCTAAAGACCTTTGGAACTTTTGGAACATGTCATAATCCAGTTTTTTCTTGGGACTTTGGTCTGTATCTGAATATATTAGTTTCAGAATAACTATTTTGCTAGTCTTAAATTCTCATGTGGTTTAATTAACATTTTGATAGCAAATTTTATTGAAGGGGAAATACGACGTCAAGAAGACAAAGAATAGCATTACTAACGAATGACCATAAGAATCCAACGCTTCGAAAAATTTATGCTTGGACAACAAGTATTCCCCCGAAATTTGAAATCCTGAATTCACATTAAGTATACTGTGGTAAGCTTATGCGATACAACGGCTGCTGCCTGGAAAGAGGTTAGAATTTTTGTTCCATGTGAGTGTTTCTTATGGCTCCATTGAAAACTCTTCAGAACGTTAGTGTGATACAAAGCAGACAATGGCATACTAGAACGCTAATTTAGATTACGGGAACATTTTCTTGTCAAAGTAATAAACTGATATGATGTGTAAGTTGGATGAGGAGAGTCAGCCAATAAGAAGCCGTACTTTAATCGGACTTCCCAGTTGTAAGCGTTCACTGACAAAGTATATCTACAAAGTGCAGGATATATGTTATGTTGAAAATACATGCTGTCATTCTGCACAAGAGTCTGGAGTATCGCCATCTACTTATTCCTTATGTAGCACTTATTCGAGATAATCAGTCAACTTTGCGAGCTGAGGACTTATCACTTGAACACTTTCAGTAATATACCTATTAAATGCCTCAGGTAATTTCTGCAGAAAGTGCTTTCTCAGCTTTTCTGAGGTGTTGAATATTTCAATATATAAAAGAATAAGTTATCCATTGTCTTCAATATTGATTGAAAAACATAACTAATAATTCTATTTTACTGAATACTGAAAACTTTTTTTAAAAATTGACGAAGCTATGAAATATTATTTATTAGCAACCTGATTTGCAACAGCTGCCTGTTGAATAATTTATTTTTAATCTTCAAACAACTCCCACTCATGAACATAAAACAACACGAATTCGACACACAATGTAGGTATGCTTAAGTGAATTGCTATGCCTAAATAACTGGGAAACCACCTAGCGAGTTTTTGTGTATAGACAACAAGAAAGTAGGCCTGCATATGTAAAATAAAGTTATTGAATGAATTTTTTCTTTTTTTCTATACTTAGCAGACAAAAAATGATGTTTATTCAGGAATATGGTAAAATTCCTCAACTTAGCTAATATATGCTTTGCAAATAGATTGGTTAGGTAACCGAGTAGCTTCAAAACTTCAATCTGCACAGCCGATTACCTTAAATGTTGATTTCTTAAGACAGTTTGGATCAGCTTTTGTTTTTGTCTACTAACCCACAGGTTAACAGAAAATAAATGATTATCTCATTACAAAACTCATAATACATAATATACCTGAAGAATTTAATAGATGTAGTCAGACAATCCAAGTTCTAAAGTGAAAGCTGTAATTCCCAAGATTTTCACTTTTACAACGGAATAAGAAGAAACTTTCCTGTAACAGTGGAGTGAAGCTGATGGTTTCCCTCTCTCGGTAACTTCAGTCTACATTCAGTCCCAGAAATCATCATTTGCTTACCAAACGAATTCATCTTAGTATTTGTGGACTTTAAAGATCTCTATCCGACGAAACTTATTCTGGCTACACTACATCGATTCTGTTGCTTATACACAGTGACAAATAGCCTTCCATTTATCCCCTCTTCAGCAGTCGCTAAGTCTTTCCACTGTCGTACGATAGATAAGTTACGAACATTATCACCAGGGTAAAATTGGTAATCTTTAAAAAGTGAGAATAAATAAGTAATGCAGTCATCACATTTCGCATCAGATGTTAAAAATCAATCAACGTGAGACTCCGAAGGATGTTAATTTTGCTAGTTTTGGCACTGATCAGAAACGTTCCCTTGTAACCTTGAGAACACTTAGCAGCGTACTGGCTAAGTCTACGACCTAGTTGTTACGTTTTGACGCAAATTTGAATATTCAATGGGATATGAGTTTCCTCAATACTGTGAACACACAATCGTTTAGCAAACATGAAAGTTAGGTTCAAAGGAAACACATTGACATCCAGCGCCAAAGAATATGGGATCAAAGTGTTAAGTAGCGTTGGGAACTGTATTGATCGACTTAAGTCAGAACTCAGGTTTTGAGCAGTTCAGTGTAGAATATATTTCTTATTGAGTGTGATAGTTCATTAGTGATCTTTTGAACCACTAAAATCGGATTTCATGCTATCAGTATGACCCATATCAGTTAAGTCTGATTAAAAGAAGCTATTAACAGTTTGTCTACCTGGTTTCATCGCACATGATGTTAGATACTTTCTCCTGCATATAACCAAGCATTTTTTAAAAAGAGGCACTATCCTCTCAGAAAATACGACTGAAAAACCCTATAATACCGGAAGAAAGTGAACTTAAAAAGAAACTTATAACTTCCATTATGAATACAGCCAACTGAAACATCCAAGATATTCTGAAGTTA